GTGGCAGAGAGGTCAGGTTCAGTGACTCAAATAAGCCTAGCCGTGATGATGCCCCGCAAACAGCTCGTGGTTAAGCTAGTCCATGTGCTAGGCTAAAAAAAAGCCCATGATGTGATTGCAACCACCTGTCACTCAAAGAGGCCACACCCCCAATAATGCATAACATTAAGCCTTAATATAATGCAAACGAGTGACTGATATAAAAATAACCCCCCCACACAGTTTTCATGGAAGAGAAAATTAGCTATACTGTAGAAACTAAAACTGTTTTTGAACCAGGCTGTGAGCATGTCATTTCTGCAGTAAAATTGGAATTTTTTAACACGGGGGTCAATGGTGATTGTCTAGCTTTTGCAACCGGCCTCAAGACCATTTTAGGAACTGCAGTTTTTGGCACTTCCACGTTGGCCTCACATTTCAGCCCCTGAGGTTACCGCTGGGTGAAAACCACTTCGGACAAAAAAGAACACAAAGGCTTGTCTCACATTTGCCAAAAAACATCTCAATGACCCCCAAGACTTCTGGGATAATATTTTGAGGACTAATGAATGAAAAGTAGAACTTCTGGGGAGACACAAGTCCTGTTACATCTGGCGTGAAGCTATCACAGCTTTCCACAATATGAACATCATACCCACAGTCAAACACGGTGGCGGTACTGTGATGGTCTGCGGCCGCTTTGCTGTTTCAGAGCCTATGCGATTTGCTGTAATTGATGTAACATTGAATTTTGCTCTCTACCAGAAAATACTGAACGTGAATGTTCGGCTATCAGTTTGTGACCTAAAGGTCAAGCGCAGTTGTATTATGCAGCAGGACCATGATCCAACTCATACAAGCACGTCCTCCTCTGAATGGTACAAAATAAACAAAATGACGGTTTTGGAGTGGCCTAGTCTGGGTCCTGAATTGACTTAGAGTGAGATGCTGACCATGATCTTAAACAGACAATTCATGCTAAAAAGCCTTCCAATGTGGTTGAATTAAAACAATTCTGCAAAGAAGACTGGTCAAATTCTTCAATAGCGATGCAAATGACTCATTGCCAGTCATCGCAAACGTTTGATTACAGTTCTTGCCGCCAAGGGTGGCATAACCAGTTATTCGGTTCAAGGGGGCAATTATTTTTTTTTCATATTGGTGATATAGGTTTTGAATGACTCTTTAGCTTCAATAAATTAAATGATCATTTAAAAGCTGCATTTTGTGTCGACTCTTGTTGCCTTAGTCATGTATTATAATTAGTCAGATGATCTGAATCACTTAAAAATGACAAATAAGCCAGTAATGAAAGAAATTGGTAACTACTTTTTTCACAGCACTGTCGTGATTACCCTGACATTCAAAATACATTGTTGCATGAAGCTTTTTGAAGAGATGAAGTAACTGACACCAAATCTACCATCGAATTAAAATATAGTTGAATAGTTTGTTGCAAACAATTTAGTCAAACATTTTTGACATTAATTAACGATGCAAACCATTATTTTGCCAGTCAATAAGACACTTTAAAACAGAAGTTAAATATCAGGATGCATTCAAAAATTGCATGGAATGACATTTTTAACAAAAATTAACAAAACTTAAAATGACTCATTTGACAAAATGACTAAGCATTTATATAAATGTATTTTTAATATTAGAAAATGCCAGCCTGAATCATTGCAATGTTTGCTTTACCTAGTCACACTGAACATACCATATGTTTATGATCAAAATTTCCCTATACAAACAGTTTTCCATGCAAAAATAACTTCTATGATTAAATTAAATGTAATTTCAAATTGTCAGCTGATTCTGATATATCCAGCCATCATTGATGGTTGCATGCTCGCTCTGAAATTATTTCACACACATCAGCGCACACGTGCAGAGAATCCGGAATAAGTCTCAAATACAGAAGATGATTGGCTCAATTGGTGTGCGATTTATAGCACTTCAGATGAATTACAATTACCCACAAATGCACTGTTGCACAACAAGGGAGACAAGCAGAGATCTGACAGGCAGACCACGTTCAATTACAGAGCAAGACACTTAGATCTGATTGTTTCCCTTAATTTTATCGTCTGTCAAATCCAAAATTCTTTCCATGTTAATGAGGTAGAAAGCAGCCAGGATTTTGCGCAGAATATCTAATATGTGTGAAAGTAACCCAAAGTTACAGCTGCCTGGACAGCTTACCAGTATAAAAAAAAAAAAAACAAATAAAATCTCTGCAGCAACAATAGACATTGCCGTTCACTAGCGCACACCAGAGTGAGGGAACAGATGCAGTGTTCAGGAAATCCCAGATTAACACAACGTGCCTGAAGACGGGAGATGTGGGGAAGACATCCACTTTTTCATAAAGGGCAGGCTTCTCAAATATAGATCTGTATGAAAAGAGCAAGGGATCAGTGGATGGTGGTAAAACTGTCCGGTCTGTCTGTACCGGGCGAACAGGATCGATGTCAGAGTCACGTAGAGTATTAGCATTGCAAAATTACGTTAGATGCTGCTGTAGAACAGCGGGGAAGCTCAGCCTTCTGGCCCCGCCCCCTGCAGACAGATGACAGAGAGAGAGAGAGCAGAGAATTTTTTACTGCTTTGAAAATGACATCATCTGACTCTGTGGAAATTTCCGGGCACCAGCAGAATAAGCAGCAGTGGCTCAGGAAGGTAGGACCACTACTCAGCTGAGGTGAAGTGATTCTTCTTTTGATTCAACTTCCACCTGCCGTTATAAATGAGAAAGCCTTTCAGATTCCCAGAATTGCACAAGAGAACTTCGCCCAGAAAACAACTCAGTTCGAGCTTTCACATGTGCCAAGACCTGTTTCCTTTCACTACACTAGTCTTTACTGTTGGAGGAAAATAAAACCTGGACAGCCACTGTTTTTAGCCTCACAGAGATAACACAGCCCTCAGATAACAATTCAGATACATAGCAACACATAGATACAACCGATAATAACACAGGTTACAGAGCACAGATTAGACAGTTCAGCACAGCAGAACTAAAGCACAACCAATCTCAAATGACAATGAAAGACAACGATAACCCAGTTCAGGGATAACTCAGACTAAATTACCCGGAAAAAAAGGCCACACGATAACATGGTGACTTTCTGTTAAGACGATACAGAAAGCATGAACACCGATTAACTCACACTACAGAGATAACGCCACAATAAAAAAAACCAGAGGAACACACTGTAGCGGTACAACAAAACAGCGAGCGCATCCGTGCTCGCCTATATGGGCTCACACACAGCATGCTCAAATCTGTCACTGCACAGAGCGGCGATAAGGTGGCGGAGAAATTGCCCGCTGAGCGCAGCCTGAGAGCAATGTACAACCACAGCGCAGCCGAGCGTGACGCAGGCATCAACGTTTACTGCACCTTCTGCGAGCAAATACACAGCCAGGGTGTAAGGAGAGGGGAGTGCTGGGAGTCTGTGTGCTCAGAATATTAGGCGCTAGCAGGAAGGTAAAATAATAAATCACGCCCAAACAGGAGGGTAAGCCATGTCCACACTAATACGTTTACATTTCAAAAAGGGGCATTTTAAAATGAAAACGATCTCTGTCCACACTAAAACGCTAGCTTGGAGTCTTCAAACTTAAGTGGGGCCAGCAGCGTTTTCAAAAGTCTCAATTTTTGAAGGTTTGAAAATGCCTGTGTTAGTGTGGATGCAAGGCAAAAACATAAAAAAGTTACGCATTTTAAAATGAAAATCTATTAGTGTGGATGTGGCCGAAGAAGGGAGGTGGAATTCAGAACCGTGGGGCTGTGTGTCTGATCTTCGGTTTTCCCTCACAGGGGGGGACGCCGCCCAGGAGGGCAGAATCCACTTGTAGGAGACAACACCACTAACTTCACCCTGCAGAAAGCAGCTTATTTAGGCTGGGAGGGGGTGTATCAATTCAATCTGTCAGACCCTACCACACAAATCAAAAACACACAATTACAGCGGTCAAGCAAGAGCAAAGCACCCAGTGAATGCCATCAGATTCAATCTTTTCACCTTTCTCTGCATATCCCCTGCATAAATTATAGTTAGTCCTATACTCCTGGGTGTATAGACATCTCTTGCCTCTTTCTCCTCATTTAAATTTTCACTCTGCTCTGATAATCATCCTAAGTGTATTCATGGCCTGGTGCGCGGCCTTCTGCATTGCACAGACGGCACCTTTTGCCCCTGCCAAACATAAAGTTGGAGCGAGTGATGATGATCTTTCTCAAAACCAAATGATAAATTGACCCCTCTTTTAATAACGGTGCAGGCTGCAGGATGAGGCAAAATCATAGCTTCATAGCATAAGTAAGGAAATATTTATAGCTCTATTTACTATAGGGTATCATCCTGCTAATTGATAACGTTATCCTAGGAATGATAAGCTCTGCCAGGGCTGTCAGTCGTCACTAAGGTTTTCAATGATTTCCTCTGAAATACCAAAGGCTGTTAAGGCAAAGATAGGGGAACAAACTCTTTTCTGAAAGAAAGCTGAACTAGACAGTCCAGTCGGCTGCAACTGCATGGGTGTAGCCCCTGAAAGCCCGCTTTTCCCCTTTTTTGTGCATTATTCGGCCAATACTGTCGCCATGGCAACCAAAATCAATAGGTGTTGTAAGTGAAGTATATCACATGTCCATATCAAATATGAAAGTAATTGGTCAAAAATTACAGCCTGTACAGCGTCCACAAGGAAGAGTGTATGTGGCAGCACAAATTTGCACATTATTCGGCCAACACTGTTGCCATGGCAACCAAAATCAATATGTGCCATAAGTGAAGTGTAACACATGTCCATACCAAATACAAAAGGAATCGGTCAAAAACTGCAGCCTGTACTGCATCCACAAGGAAATTACTGATTCGCCACTAATTTGCATATTGTTCGGCCAATGCTGTCGCCATGGCAACCAAAATCGATAGGTGTCATAAGTGAAGTACAATACATGTCCATACCAAATATGAAAGTAATCGGTCAAAAATTACAGCCTGTAGGGGGGCGCCCCAGTGGCACATCGGTTTAAGTGCGCGCACCACAAAAGGCTGAGTCCTTCCCGGGTTCGATTCCGGCTCGGGCCTGTTTGCCGCATGTCATCCCCATTCTTGTCCCACCTTTCCTGTCTCTCTCTACTAAAATACTGTCCAATAAAGGGAAAACCCCAAAAAATAATCTTAAAAAAAAAAAAATTTACAGCCTGTAGAGCATCCACAAGAAAGTGTCTATGGACGCAGACGCGGCGGCGCCGCCCGACTTCGTCCGGTGGCTACAATAATAGACAGATAGCCTGCATATTTAAGGCCTGTGCACCAAACTATTATGGACATTCTAATGATGAGGAAGGATCATTTTTATCCATCCATCCATCCATCCATCCAGCCGTTATCCATACCGCATCTACCTCACCAGGGTTGCTGGTGAGCTGAAGCCTATCCAAACTGACTATGGGCAAAAGGCAGAGACCAACCCTAGAAATCCATGGCAGGGCGCGCACACCATTCACAGACCACTCACTCACACACTCATAACTATGGCAATTTAGAGTCACCAATTAGCCGGACACACATGTTTTTATCTGTGACGGGGAACCAGAGTACCCAAGGGAGCATTTCTACAAGTGCACTGTAAACCCTGATAGTGTGATGGACTCAAATGTTTTGTGGAAACCGATTACCTCAAAAAAATTGTGTAGGCCAACTTAATTGCATTGTGTGGAAAGAACTGACAGAAAATAAGGTTAAGTTATTTTTTACATGTTTTTAAGTGCTGTGAACACAGGATCATTCAGTTGGCATACTCAATTTTTTTGGGGTAATCGGTTCCACAAAACATTTGAGTTCACCACACTTGTCAGGGTTTACAGTGTGCATTTATAACCCCACCCGTCCCTGCAGGTTGGTCTGGAGCAGACGAGGCCTGCCTGTTTTGCACCTCCTGGGGTGCTCTGCTCCTCCCCCCTTTCCCGCACCCTCAGCACACTCCCCTGGGATCTGAAGGTCTGGGTGATAATGACACAACACAATGGTTGAGGACACTCTGACAGTCTCACCTATACTCAGATTCACTCTAAAGTCACTAAAGCCTCATTTCAGGCCTACAGAGGCCTCCTGACACAACGCCTTCTCCCAATGCATTTTCTGTATCGCTCATCGTTAACTGAAATTAAAATCACACTTCATTTACATGACAAGACAGTATGTGTTGCCAAAGAAGTAAATTCATAGATAACAGTAGTATCAAACCCCCTGCTTCAACCTCTTTGTCTTGTTCACTCTGTACTGGCCCCCACCTTACTTCTGAAGCTCTTGTCCCGACCATTATTGGCAATGGCAATCCAAGAAGGGAAATATACTCTCCTTGCCCCACTCTCTTGATGCACAATTCATCTCTCCATGAGCAAAGCTTAATGCCATGTTTTAACAAGAGACCTGTGAAGTGAAGTTGTACTATTCCCTGGGATCTGAAATTACACTCCTGTCAATGACCAGTCATAACTGAGAACCAGTTCTAACTGCCCACACTGCTAGTCAACTACAAGTCAGTGCCTACTGCGCGTTAGCGCTCTGGCTTGGCTTCGAAGGAGATGGAGAAGGTAGAGTGGCCGGCCAAGGCCACAAGCTTGGCATAACAAGTGAATCTGACCGCCCCGTACACCAGGAAAACCACCGTCTTAGTGCAGGCTCAAAAAAATCCAGCGAAAAGGTTTCACAGCTTCACTCCAAAAATGTTAGGGCTGCTTTTTACTTGCTCGGCTGTGCTAGCTCGGATTCTCGCGTTCACACAGCTGTATAGCCTGAAGCCTACAAAGCAGTAATGTTCCGGCCAATCTCTGACCCAGCACATGATCAAAAAGCTGGCTGCCGTGAGAGCATAAACAAGGGCTAAAACTTATTTTCCCATCGATGGATCAGTAGCATTAAACATCATCATCAAAGCAGGTGAAGGAAAGTTGCAGAGGCACCCAGGGCTAATACAAGTTATCTGCAAATGCAATATCCGGTTAACAAAACTATCACCAGCAAAGAAACCTTGACTGTGGCCTAGAAATGCATCCTGGGAAACTAATGAAAGGTAGAATACCTATTATTTTGCTGAAGGAGGAAAAAAAGATTATGTGACTCTGAAAATGGAATTGCTAATGAATGAAACACAGACATTTGAAGAAGAATTATGTTAAACTAACTAGAAGTAATATATCTGCTCAGGCTTCCTTCAAGTAATTTTCCCCCAAATTAACGGTTAAATAATCTTTTTTCTGCCTGTGGCAGAATAACAAGCCAGTCTGAGCACCAGTCTGCTCATTTCCGAACAGTTTCTAGCTAAAGACACAGCAATCAGCAATTATTATGGGTGACATCATCACAACTTTTCCTATGAAATTCGCATTACCTGCGCTGAGCAGTAACTCTGAGTCTATAAAATGAAGAGGCGAAGTGAAGTGACACTAAATCTTATCTTATCTGATCTACTCATTTCTTTTAATGCAGAATTTTAAAAGTATTGTGAAAAGGATGATTTTTCTCCCCGTGCATTTATCTGATGGTAAGTATCCAGCGCTAGCCACAGGCAGTTGAGGAATCCTTCGGTCACAGAACACTTTCTCACAGGTTACTAAAAATAACATTGTTTTGGTTTCCTTGCTGAAGGACTGTCACATATAAACGGTTCAAAAAATGACCCCCTCCCCCATTGATTTACTCTGCGAGTTATCCACTACAGCCAAACTCCCAAACTTATTCCATTTTAAAATTGTTTAACACAAAATACAATACATGTTAGTCATAGTATTGATCACAAACCAAATTCATGGCTAAATACCCAAAGTGCTCAAAGTGAACTGAGCAGCAATTTCAATAGTGTATCAGATTCACAGCAAGAATATCTGCACTCAGAGTCACGCCAGAAATTACAGTCGAATGGACGTACTTTATATAACCCCGCTACTGACAGGTGTAACAGTGCATTCACCATCAATGACAGAGACAGAGAGTAACAGACAGAAAGAGTGAGCAAGAGACACACGCTCATGCGCACACACACGCACACACGCAGGCACATACAGATACACACAGACGAACTAAGTGCAAAAATGACAGAAGACAACATAAGATACATAGAGACATTGTGAAGAGAGTGGACAATGAAAGAAAGAGAGAAATGTATGTGTTGTGTATTGCAGAGGGTTTCAACCTGATCTACATATTCATCTATAACCCAAATCATGCTTTTAAAAAAGGAGAAAAATCAGGATGGAAAAATGGGTTATTTGGGGAGGTACTGAATAATGCATGTTATTCAGTGCAGTCAGCTGACATTGAATAATGAATGTTATTCCATGCAGTCAGCTGACATTTTGTACATAGCATATTATTTTATTTTATACAGCTCACAGGCTGAGTATGTGTGGGGAGAAGGGGGGGCACGGGGCACATAAATCGGTCTGGGAGAAATGCTTTTGTCTAAACAGCCCTGTGCCCATTTCCTGTGACCACAGGAAGTGGGAAACCGGAGGCTCCTCTGCTGTTTTGCTCTTCCTTCACCCAGTATCCTTACTTAATAATTTAACTTACTTAAATTTAACTCTGATTCAAATGCAAACGCATTAGTATGCTTTCCTATTTAACATGAGACATTGACATTACATGACATTGGTGCCCTCACCCACTCCCAAAATGGTAAACAAAAAAAAAAAAAGAGAAAAGGGCAACATGTACCCTCATAAGCACAAACATGCTCAACGGTCATGAGGAAAACAGCAGGGCTGAGAACATATTACATGTCCGTGAGATATGAGGCCTCATGAGACACAGCCTAACAGCATATACAGAGCAGGAATCAACAAACTCTGGCCCTGAAATCCAAATCCAGCCCTGCTCTTCTTTTCTCCCAAGCAATGAACTGATTAACTGAAAAAAGTTGAGCTCTGATTGGCCGTAATGTCCTTGAATCTGACTCCCAGGTAAAGGGAGGGTGGAAAAGCAGAAGTTCTGGACCATGAGTTGATGATCCTTGGAGCAACTTTGTTTAGTCAGGGGACTCAGTAATACAGCTCCCATGGAGAAAATAACGGGGTGGATGAGGGGGCAGTTGGGGGGGGCTGGCTATAAATTGAGGTTTCTCCATACCACAGTTTCTTGTAATCCTTCATCATATCAATAATATATATTTTTATTGTAATTGATAAAATTTTAACTTTCAGGGATGGGATCAAGGACACACAATAAACAGACAGGCCAAAAGGGGGGAAAGCAGGAAAACTGGAATTGCCTTTTATGGCATTAATCACACAAAAAATCTTCGCAGATGTAGTGTTCTTTAGTAACAATTTACAAAATAAATAACTGCAAGAGTCTCAGGGCACATAACGTAAATAAACAAGCAGTACTGCTTCACTGGATACATCATGCTCTTGTCTAATTGCTGGACAAAACAATTTGATTTATGGGCCCTGTCCTATACCTGAGACTCTAAGCTGTGTCATTGGACGTGTCATTGGACAGGGAAATATGAATGACCTTGCTTGCCCAGCTGCACCCAGCACATAACAGCATCACGTCAGCTGAAGGCATTACTAACTTTCCACCCAGAGAGGTGCTTTAGATTTTAAGATGCAATGGGCTGGAAAACTAATTCAGAAAAAAAATGATTTGAAGTCAGTTTTAACCAATTTTTCATGACCAGTTAGGTAGGTTAGTTTGCAAAACCTTAGTCTGGTTGGTCAATTCATCTTTTGTCCTCTTGAAATAATCCTAAGGTTTATCTTTGAGATGTGTGTGCTCTGTCCACAAATGTCTTCACATTTCTGTTGGCTTCATTGCTTCATTACCATGTTTATATACAGTCTATATTTATTACTCAAACAACCCGACAACTGTCATACAATATTAGGTTTTGGTGGGCAGCCGTCATTTGATGTAATGCCAAATTGTATGTACACAGGGTCGTACTTGCATTTGGAAGGGTTAGGTTTTTGATGCAGGTACGTCAGAAGGCTCTTTTGTATCATTGCGGGTGGCTATTGTTGTTATATTGAAATAAATGTCCAGATGTTACTGCTTGGAGCAGGTCAAAACTAACACA